AACTCACACATAGAGCAGCTTGACTCAAGTTTTGTTTTGATTAGTCAATTTTCTAGTGCCTAACCACAATATTTTTATTGATTAAAATATCGATTTTTTTCAGTGTGTTTCAGCTAGAAACATAAAAGTGGACGAACGGTGTTGCGGTAACTCGTTCCCGTGTCCTAAATTACTTGCATCCCTTCGGTTTCAGCGGTTTCGAAACTTTCTTCGCCGTAAATAGATTAGTGCCTGTGAAAATCGTCGTTTAAAGGCCCCTACAAAGTTTTTATTAGTTTTCAAGGAACCGAGAACGAACCGACGCGACGGACGCGCGAACAATTGGGTTCGAACTTGGTGGGCGTTAATGGAGATTTTCGGGCAAAGTCGAATGGGAATTTTACTTGAGATATCCTCCTAGGATAGGTGTTAAAACGGAAAATTGATGGATTAGAACTTCAGGCGCTCTCAATAAAGTGCCTCGAAGAAGACAGGCAACGAAACGTAGTAGTATCTGGAAATGTTTAACAAACAGTTTAAAGTTTTGCTCGTGAAGCACACAAGAGTTCTTCTAAATTCATTAATGTGAAGTAGATATTATTTGAATTATCCGTTTAGTTATACCGTATGGCCGAAAAAAAAACGGCGTCAGCGATGGCTGTGAAATGAAGATCGCTGTCATTTTGTATGTAAAATTATATGAGAAATGTCATCGATCGTCATCGTCGATAGGATTTATAGATAGGATAAGCCACTAGTAATATTTACGCTTTACAAAAGAAACTTTTAGCTGAAATTAACCTTGAAAAAGACGAAAATATACGTTGAAACGTCCGCAATTTTTTAAGTAAAAGGTTTTTTATTGGTACCAGGTCCTAAACTTGCTAACAGAATTTCATATAAGACATAAAGACGCAAATCTACCACATTAATTTGGTATATTAACATAAAATGGGTCTCATATTGGAAACCATCTACCAATGTAAGTAATTTTAGATTGTATTGGAGAGTGATATGTGACCAAGGTTTGTGCCAGATATAGTTTTAATGAATAATTCAAACTTTTTTTTTCATCACGGGCATATCATATTATGATGTTAATTATGGAATACAATTTATTTACTTTCCGAGGATTATTATATATAGCAATTTGTGTCACGTTGAAGTTTTCTTTTCTGCATGAGTGTAAACTATAGGTAGAACACAGGCGTCGTTTCTTAGCGGTTCTTAAATTCTGATAATGGCATGCTGAACAGATAATCTCAAGATTTTCTTAGCATGTTTTATTCTAAGACTGGTCTGGAACAATAAACTGGTATTCTATTTCTGTAACAATTTTTCCTTGCTGTAAAGCTTCGAGTCATTCCAATTTTCCTCAGCTTTCGGCTAAATGCTTGTGGCAAATTGTGGTCTCAGGAAGGACGCAAGAAATTATTTTGCAGAAGAGGCGACCAAGTTCTCTTCTTCCTGCAAGCGGTTTCAGCTCGAAATAATTGAGCTCGTCGTTGAGTTGTACCATTAAATTCTTATTTTTCGTATTTCCTCAATCCACTCAGTTATGGTTGTCACATTTTTGTGAGTTTTTACAGCTTAAATGCTCTGAGGTGGTAACATAGTTGGCAGATCCCTCATCATGTATAAGAGTTTCTTTGCCATCAAGGGTACTTTAAGTTCCTTCGAACAAATGGCTCTGCTCATTTTTCTTCTCTGACAGGCCTATTAATGAATTGATAAAAGTTAACAACTGTTAGGACTCTTGGAGATACTACGTCCTGACAACTAACCTTTATCTGTTACAATTGTAAGGTCTTTTCTGAAGGTATTGAATATGCATGGAGATGCAGACTATGCAGAGCGCCATGGTCATAAATGTTATGGCAATTTGACTCGAAATATCAAATGTGTCGTGCCAAATGCTTTTTCCAAATATGCTAATAAGCCACCCTCGTTCCATTTGAAAAAATTAAGATATTATTACAAATACGATTTGGGCATCTTTTAACCGGCCAGGACAAGACACTAAAAACATTACACGATCAAATCTATTTTTTCGAGGCTCCTTGATTAAAAATTAGTGTTTTTAACAGTCATGACACTCTAGATTGAAATCTAAAATACGCTTTTAAAGCGAAATTGTCAAATGTTGAAATTCTATTCAGACTGACATTTTCTATCGAATAAAGTAACAAAATATAGAGTTTGCTATTTAAAAATCAAAAGTTGTAGTCATTTCGGGTGAAACAGGAAGTGACCGGAAAACAATTGAATGCGTCAATCAGTCCTAATTTATGTCATATACTATGTAACATACCAAATATCGAATTTTTATCTGAAAAAATTAAAAAGTTATAAGGGTGAGTCATTTTTGAGACGCACCCGGTATATCATAATTTTCATGTTATACAACAGTATGTAATATATTTCATCTTGCTATCGATAATTGGCAAAAATTACGAAGTTCCTTCTGGTGTCGTATTTTCTGACGATTTTTTTGCACGCTTAAATGAATTTTCCTATGCGATACTGACAACGATTTTTACGAAACTTCAAAAGACTGAGTTATAAAGTATGTTAATTGAATTTACGTTGTTTGTCGCGACTTTTCCTGTTAGTTTTCAAAGTTTGATGCAAAATTTTAAGTTTTCGATAAAGGAATTTGAACTGCAATTTCCGATAAATTAATTAACTTTTTGTTGACGATTTGCATTGTTGATGATTACATGATTCTTGCAATATACAGGGTGGTCTGAACTGTATTCCGGAAACTTCGGCAGCATATTCTGCAGATAAAAATGATTAAAAAAGTTCATATCAATGTATGTCCTAAAATATTTAGTTTCGGAGATACAGGGTGTAGAATTTTTATTTCGATTTTTTCCAAATCATTTCTGAAGTACTTGAATCAAAATTGGTGTCTGGGGGTTTTTTGACATGAAAATTTTGATTTGATGACTTCTATTTGTAGGGGGCGCCACCTACATATGTTTTAACTGTTTTGAAAAGTATTAACTTTTCGTCCGTACCTGTATAAATCTACTGAGTGAAAAAGTATACATTTCCGTGACTTTCTACCTAAAAAATGTATCTTGGTAAAAATCGCTACGAGTAACCATTATCAAGATATTTAGAATGGAAATAGTCAATACATGTCATTATTGACAAAAAATAAACACGTTGAGTAGATAGTTATTTGACTGAAATAATAAATTTGAAACATTTTTATTTTTTTAAATCATTCATAGTTTTTTCTGCGAAAAAAAGACGATAAAACAGTTTCTGTTAAACTTTTGGCACAAAAGCATTTCAAATTTATGATTTTGGTATAATAACTGTTTAGTCAACATCTTTAATTTATCTCAATGATGACATGTATTGATAATTTCGACTCCAAATATCTCAAGAACCATTACTCGTAACGATTTTTACCAAGAGACTTTTTTTACGTAAAAAACGTCGTAAATTTATACTGTTTTACTCACTAATTTTATACAGGTACGGACGAAAAGTTATTACTCTTCAAACCAGTTAAAAATATGTAGGTGGCGCCCTCTACAAGTAGGAGTCATATTGACATCAAAATCAAATTTCTGATGTCAAAAAACTCCCAGACACCAATTTTCATCCAAATATTGACGTTACTTCATAAATTGTTTAAAAAAATCGAAATAAATATGAAACTTGTACATCCTGTATTTCAGAAACTAAGCATTTTAGGACATACATTTATAAGAATTTTTTATCTATTTTTATCTGCAGAGTATGCTAACAGAGTTTCCGGAATACAGTTCGGACCACCCGGTATATTTTTTGAGTATTGGAAATTTGGAGAGTAAAAGTTAATGTAAGTGCTACATCTTTTAATGCTTAAAAAGTGTCTGCAGATCCAACGGTGTGCATTTGGGTTATTCCTGGAATATTAAAAAAAACTGTGTGTTATTGACTTTTTTCTCCTGTTACTACATTTGTGTAGCCCGTTTAATGCCGATTAAAAGTTGCCTTTTGATATTCTGTCGATTTCGGTCTCCTTGATGTGATAAACATGAAATTATTAAGTTTCCTTAATCGAAAACTAATAACAACCTTTAAAAAAATGTAACGACATTAACTTGCCAAAGATAAGTACTCATTGATTTCTCATCAAAAATATAAAAAAAAGTTTCTATAAAGCCGTCTTTATAGCAGAAATACGTAGTTTAGAAGTTACAGGACATTACATCTTTAAAAAATAGGTTTGTTGACATTATCTAAATTCCCTTATTTTTTCCTTGAATTTGCTGTAGTTGATATTACTGTTACGTCAGTTAATACTGTTGCATCAGTGTCATACATTTTAATAAAATGTTATAATAAATGAGATTAACTAATTTATTTATTTTATTTTTATTTTAATTTGATTAATTGTGATCGATAAAATTGCGTTTATCTCATCATGGAGATCGAAATCGACAAAATATCATGATACAACTTAAAATATCGGCATTAAACAGTCTACACAATTATGCTAACAAGATAAAAAAAAAGCCAGTGGCCCACAAGTTTTTTTTTAGAAAATATTCCAGTGACAACCAATATGCAACGCTCCGGTAAATCTGTCGACACTTTTTTAGTACTAAAATATAGTAGTATATGTAACACTTTTTTGCCATTCGAATCGCTAAAAGCTCTTGGAAAAAAAGTACAATAAATCGAAAAAAAAATTAAGACTTACATATATATGTTGATATAAAATAAATAAAATTTTTACCTGTGGAATTTCCCCATGAGAGATATCACATGTTTTTCAAAACACCCTGTATACATGAACAATAATTTGAAATGTTTAATTAATTTCCGTACTTCCATCATTCGGATATAATAGTTAATAAAATTACTTATATATAAAGAAGCAATTAATCTAGTTAATGTCATAACAACTAAGTTCTTAAAATACATAAATAATTTCTAGTAGACCAAGTACACCTGTATTTTAGCAGTAACATTACTTTTTGCTCAAGTTCTAACGAATCTCTTTTTTGTTGCAGCAATATTAGCCGCCCAAGTTGACGTTGACAAAAGAGAACAAACAGTCTTACCTGGTGAAAACGTTTCTTACATGTGCAGAGTTGCAGTACCTCTACAATACTGTAGAGTAGAAATTCCCGGATTACAGACCTTTAACTTGAACAGAGGAATTTCTAATTCATACGTAAGTATTTTTTATTTTTTTTATGTAGTGATTACAGCAGCAAACTAAAATACTAATTCACCGCAATACGTCAAAACACTTAACAAACTATATAGAAACCTAGCATTATCAGAAGATGATTAAAACTGAGTTTAATCGCCAGTTTTTACTCAGTTATAAACTTTAAACTTAGTTTTAATCATCTGCTGATGATGCTAACATGGTTAGCGAAATGCGCATTCAGAGCAAAAGTAAAGTGTTTTAGTGTATTGTGGTGACTTAGTGCTTATTTTGCTTATGTAGTGACCCTATGTTTTAGCTAATTGAGCACTAATTGCCATTGTTAGAAACAAAATATATTGGACAGACTATTTAGGGACTTCAGGGGCGATAAGATTCAAGGACCAGCAGTTTTTTTGATAAATAGCAACAATTTCAAAACCTTGCTTTGCACAACATAGTTTTTGATAAAAATTAAGAAGTAATATAACTTAGACACCCATTATTAATTTAGTGTCTTTTGACCATTCGTCGTTTTCTTGAAATTTAGTTATAATCTACTATGGATTTTCTTTTAATTTAAAACCAACAGATTTTTTTTATTAAGTACAGGAATACTGTAATATACTTTATGTTTATTAGGTTTCATATTATGGAGAAGGCTTAGATGCAGGCCAATGTGGTTTTACTCTACACGGCGTTAAAGATCAAAACAACGGAGAAATCAAATGTACCCTGGGAATTATCAGTGAAGCCCAGGAATCTATCGGAACCATGAGCCTTATAGTTGCAAGTATGTTATTATCTTCATCTATAATTATAACTGTCCCATAAGAAAATGACATCTAATTATACGTACTTTCTCCTATTTACAGATGCTCCAAAACCACCAGAACTCGAATTGAGCAGAGGAACTGATCAGCTTAACGTATACAAAGTTGATGACACACTAGAAGCTTCCTGCACTGTTAGGGATGGCAGACCAGTAGCTAATATTACTTGGTTTTTAGGTAAAACTTTTTTATTCTTTTATATTACTTTCAATGAAGTAAATTCTATTTTTAGTCATACACTTGCTAAACTTTACATTTCCAAAAATTATTATGAACTCAAGTAATAGATCCATTTTAGTCTTTTTAAAATTTAAATAAAGATTTTTAATTGTCCACATAAGTTTTAACTGTCCAGAATTAATTGTCTATACTACTATTACTATACTGCCATTACTCGCTGACGAGTATTTGATACGCATCAAAAGATGGTTACTCAAGGCGTCTTTTCTGTAACTGAAAAGCCCGATACGTGATATTATATCTCTTCGGAACTCCGGACATACAAAAATCTAATTACTTTGTTGCCTTTCTACTTTTCGGTTGTCGTTGTTAACTGAGTTTACAATTCTTCTCCATTGCGTTCTATTGTACGCTGCTTCCTCCCACTGATTCTGCATGTTTATCTCCATTAAGTTTTCGTGGAAATTATCCTTGTACCTTTTCAGTTATCCACCCGGTTTTCTCTTACCGTCTACAAGCTCACCGTAAAGAAGAGATTTTGGTAGGCAGTTTTCTTGCTGGCGGTACGGCATCGGCACCCCTATTGTCTATAGTGTGTAAAAGTATCTCATAAAATATTTCATTTTTTTAGCTTCTTCTTCTTCTTACAGTGCCATACTCTATATAGAGCGTCGGCTACCTCTCGCATGTACTTGTGATGTGTGTCATCAGTGTTTCACAAGTACACGGGACCTACAGTTTATTGCCGAATCCGAACGATACTATTTGAGAGGCTGTACAGGGTGTCCCACTAAGAATAGCTCACCGCTGTATCTCGGAAAATATTAGCCGTAGAGCCTACGGAAAAAAATGTTTATAACTAATGGGGCTATGAGAAATTGCTGGAAATTATTTTCAAGTTTGTAAAACGGCCGCTAGAGGTCGCAACTGCTATGGAAAATAAGAAAATAGAATTTTTACAGAATTTTGCCGCCCGCAGATCGAAACACTAACGCTGGAGCTACGGCCAGCCACATTCATTTTTTAGTGGAATCTGATTAAATACTTTGAAAATTAAATATGGGGTTTAAAGTTGTTGACATGCTCATTGTTCAAAGTTACTTCTAAATAGGTCTGGTCGTCTATTATAACTCAATTAGACTTTGTGTAGAAATTTGCATATAGTTTTCGGTGCACATATATTTTGCATAACGTTACTTTAAGAATGGTCAATTAAAATAAAAATCTAACAGTAATGAAACAAATCTCTTGTTATTATGTGTTTTAATATAAAGTTATGATTTATTTTACGAAATTTCCAGTCTGTGCACCTCTGTAAATTTAAATTCTACAATAGTTGCGTTGTTGCACTTTTTTCTACTAATTAACAAAGAGAATATCTAACCGTAAGAATTGAAATATCTATAGTTTGTTCCTGTTTATTCCTTAACTATTTGTTTATTTTACAAACAATACTATAATGTACTTTAAACTTTGTTATTTCAGATGACGAACCAATTGACGAACTTCCAATGCCTGCAATTTTAGAATTGGCAAAAGAACACCTCCTAACCAAAGTGCAAAATTTGACAAGAAAACTGAGGGCATCCGACAATGGAAAGTTCCTTAGATGTGTTGCTTACCATCCAGCATATCCGGGACAAGTGGGCGAATCTAAAAGGAGGCTGGATATTAAATGTAAGCGTCTGTTATTTGTACCAGTACTAGTGTAACGATATCCACCAATTTCATATGAAAAAATTACAGAGAAACAAATTAATATTGATTCGCCGGCAAAGTTCAAAATTTCTTTAATAAAAAGTTGAAGCAAGCCACAAAATTTATATAGTCCGATTTAAATGAAATTTGATATGTCGATAGATTGGACCATGGCCAACTTGGCCGTGTACATGTCACTGTGACAGTTAGTTTTGACGTAAGAAACGTCAAAAGTTGATGTGGTCCGATCGCAACCAAAGGGGGGTTGGTGGTGACCAGGGTTCGGAAAACTACATGTTACTTTTAAAAACTACATAAACTACATTACATGTAGTTAATGTAGTTTATGTAGAGGGTGTAGTTTATGTAACCTATGTATGTAACTTTCAAATATCAAAGGTTTGAGGTGAGGTTATAAGAAGTTGAAGCTTTAAAACACATAATGTATTTAAGAAAACGGAAGAAATATGGCTTTAAATATATAATATTTTCATCATATTATCTCTATTGCACCTCATACAAAGGAAAATTATTCATAATATCAATACATAGTTTATTAACGTAGTTTTCATGTAGTTAATGAACTGGAAAAGACGTAGTTTTGAAGACAAAACTACACGTAGTTAATCAGGTAAATTACGTCTTAATTAACTACTTCCGAACCCTGGTGGTGACTATGGAGCGGAGGTGGGTAGACTATGCGAGCTATCGTACATTGGGTACGACATGTCGTTTACATCTTGATCAGAGTAGAACTAACGATTTGATATTGAAGAAAAATGTGGGTCGATTTCGGCATAATTGGGGACTGGCTACAGGATGACGTCCTCGACGTTTCGAACCGATGCTTCTAAATGGACGAAATCATCAAGATTTTTCTCTTAATTATGGGTCGATTGGAACCAAAACCGTCCTCAGACGGACATTTTAATACACATTTTGTGAAAGTGAATCAAATTATTTATTACCTTTTCAACATTTCAAACTACATTTTTTCAAACATGTCCTTCAAATCCCTCAGTTTATTAACTCTTAGTAAGAAGTCTCTCTTCAAATATGTGCACGTTTTTTTTTACATGGACGTTTTACAATACCTACAGATATGACGTTATCTATTGATTTTAGATGCTCCATTACCCCAAAGACAAACAATTGAGGCTTACGATTACGGAATTGGAAAAACAGGCGAAATCAACGTAACAGTGGAAGCTAATCCCAGGCCTAGTTTCGAATGGACGGTTGACGGGCAAAGGATCAGGGAAGGTAGTCATGACAACACCGGTATTATGGAGGCTGAATTTGCAAGAGAATTGGTAAATTGTTTAGAAAACTTATTTCTTACCATGATACTAAAATAATGACGTTTATAGGGAAATGGTAGATATCTAGCCGTCTTAAGAATAGCGAGAATAGGCAAACAGGATACGGAGAAGGTTTATATTTTGAAGGCGTACAACGATCAAGGAAGTCAAGAATATCGAGTGAAGATATCGACAAATTCAGAACCAAAAGGTACTTTTATATATAAATATGTATTTAGTCGTTTTAGTATTAAGACAAAAATAAATATATGCTTGATTTTATTGTTTCACGCTGCAGGAATTACAAAATTCTTTAAGCAACACGTATATGGCGTTTATGGTAGGTAAAAATTTAATTGTAAAATTATCATATTTTATACTTCAATGTTTCTTGTTATTAATGCATTTCATTAAATTTAATAATTATTTATTTTTAATTTATCAATTAATTTGAAAGCCAAAAATGTACCATTTTTGACGTACGAGTATTCATAATAGTAAATGAATATAATGACATAGAAACACGAGTATTTTTACTCTACTTTGAACTTATCGTACTAGTTACTATCGTTAGACTAATAGAACTTATCGTTACAGTTAATAATTATTGTATTTTTAATATAATGATTTACCGTTAGGTGGATAGAATTGATCTATCGTTTTGAATTATTATTAAACAATTTACTCGAAGTAACAATTAATTTTAATAATGTTAAGTTGATAATTGCTTATATTTAAACAATACATTTAGAGAGTATTTTAGAGTGATTGGGCCACTCATGTTACATCATATTTACTTTGGAAATTTAACAGAATAAATATTTTTTTACTTAAAATACACACACACACACACGAATTGATTAATATAAACACAACCAAACTTATAATCATCTATTATTTTTCATAATCTACGTGAAACGCAGTTCTTACCAAAGATTTTAACGAAATCCATGTAGCAATAAAAAAAATAATGAGTTTTCAAAATAATCACGATGGTATTTTTTTTGGTTTCTGAAACGAAATGAGATTTAAATTGGGTCAAAATGGTAAAAAAAAATATTTGTATTGCCATCTCCAGCCTTTGGTCAAGCTTCTATTCGTGCTGCCATGCTTCTTATTAAATTATCAACGTTGTCTTGGGGTATGTTTTCCCATTCTGCTAATGTTGCATCAATAAGGTGTGCAAGATTTTCTGGATGGTTTAGACGAGTTCTAACCCTTCTTTTGAGCTGGTCCCATAAGTGTTCGATAGGGTTTATCTGTTGAACATGCAGGCCAGTCCAAACGTTAAGCATTTTTTTTCTTTGTTAGGCAAATTTTTATTACTGTAAACATAACTTCTGACAAGCAGTGTCCGTTTAGGTTTAACGCAGAAGTGTTTACAAAAAATAAATATTTTATTTTGTAGATTTTTCTTGCAGTGCAGTGGCGAAATACCCATGAAGGATTTTTTGGAGATATTTAATTATTATTTAAAATAATTTTAAGTCCGACTCTGGGTTTTTAAATTATTTAATCTGCTTATATTCATCGCAACAATATTGATAAGCGCTAATTAACATTGAATAAGGAAAATCGAGCCAATTGAAAGATTCAAATAAATAATATCCAGGTCAGCAATTTAAAGATATTATTTTTAACTTTTTTTACTGTGAATTTGAAATCTTAGTGTGCGGACTAATAATTTGCATAATATTAATCGTCGTTATTATAAATTAATTAACTTCTACTAACTAGTTTCTAGTGCTCTACACGTTCGAAAGGGATATACTCCTCCCTATTGCGCAAATTTATTTTTCGTTCAATTTAATTTATGGTTCTTGGAACAGATCTTCCGAATGCATTTTGTACTCTTTATTGTAAATGCTGAGATGTATTGATTTCACACACACATATTATTTATTTTATATTATTTTATTGCATTTGATGTTCCGTATTCAATGTTTTACCCCACGTCATTACTAAGTTTGAAATTTTATCAATATTGTAACGATGAATAGATTAAATATTTTAAAAAAACAGAGCAGGACTTGAAATTAGTTTAAATAAATTGTGCCCAAATTTCCGAAACAAAAAAAAAATAAAGTGTGGCATATCATTGTACTCAGAATAAAACTCATTGAAATAAAAAATGCAGGTCCGTATTTAAAAAAATTAAGTTGGCCTCTGTATCTCACAAATTATCAGCTAATTTGAAAATATAAACATACTATGAGATAATAGCTTGTGAGATAGAGCCTTAATAAAGTGACAATGAGAATGTACAATTAGTTTTTTGATTTTCTAAAAAGCAACGACAGAAAAAATTTAAATTGATTTTCAAAAAAATCCGTTTTTTTTTTCAAAAACTCAACAATCCTTGAAATTTTTAAAACTTTTTTGATGGCATCTTGGTGAACATCCCAAAGCGCAACTTTGCCCCAATTTAACCATGTTCGTATCTATTACGATTACCGAGATACCAATGCTCGTACCTCGAATTTTTAGCACCCTGTATAAATAATAATACATGTTACATTTTATTACAGACTGATAATTTTTCTCTGCTACAAAAGTTTTTCTACAAAACATTACATAATTTCTTAGTATCTGATTTACATATACTTTATTTTTATTATTTAAATCACTTTTCCAATTCTAAATTGAGGCACAATATGCATATTTACTATTCAAATATGAAGCTATTAACTGGTTGTTATAATGTAATTTGAACGTAAGCATTTCTCTAACTTTTATATTCCGTGCTCAGGCAACTTTTTATATTTTAACTTGATCTGATATAGCGATATCTTTCGTAACGATCTACTTTCTGCTAGTGGCATTTGAGACTGTAATGCTAATGTTAGTACAACTGTAATCCGTTTAGATAATATGTCAAACAGGAACAATTATATTTAAATATTACAGAAATAAAATAGGCTTTAATGCCATCTACCATTATAAGCGTACATTTAAATACCTATAAAATTGGCCATTTCGTTGATTTATTTTGCAGGCTATTTTGTAACTTTGTTCTATAAATGTTTTATAGTTGTAGGGATTTAAAAATTTTTGAATAACCAAATTCTAATTTCAAATTTAAAACATAAAAATAACATTTTTTCAGAATTTAATAAAGATTTTTAATAAAGAATTCTTTCATAAAAAAACAGTGTGTTTTAGCGGACAATATTACTGAATATTTTTATTTTAAATTTTTTCTTATTAAATGAAAATGATATCTAAATCTATTCTAAATGATATGTTGTCACGCTATATATAGTATAACGCTATATGTCAATAAAGCTAAAGGTAGGTTCGTATACACGCGAATTGTGAAGATCGGAAAATAAAACCTTGTTTTATTTACGTAGTTCGAGAGCGAAATTTGCAATTAATTCTAAGGATATTTGTGGTTTTAAACACATGTTGAAAATATCACTTGAACGAAGAATTTTATTTTTGTCTCTATCCAGTAGTCATTTTCATATGATAGATATATTTTTATAAGATATATTCTGAAGGATTTTATTTTTATAAGTATATTTTTTTGTAATGGATGAAGCTACTTATTTTTGGTGTAGAAGACGACCTTTTGCTGTATATTTATTAATAAAAAACAACAAAAATAAAATACATAGAACAATTGGAACATGTGAACTATTTAAAAATTGAAAACAGCAAGGAGCATAATATCACAATTTAGTGCAATAAATGAAAATTAACTATAAAAAAGAATTAGAAACTACCATAAAATGTCTATAAAGGATTTCGACTCGCAATGGTTTTGAAAATTTTCCGACAATATTACCAGTTTGTAGTTAACATTAAACTGATTGAGAATGAAGAATTGAAATTGAAACAATGAAAATGATTAAGCACAATTTTTTCATACCTTTTCAATTTCTTCCATCTTAACCAATGTTTATGTTATTATTAGGGCTGCACCGAGTACCGAGTAGTTCGGTGCTCGGCCAGAATTTTAACCGAGTAATATGTACTCGGTGCTCGGCCTTACTCGGCCGAGTAATGTATAGTAATAGAAACAATCCATTTATGCAGGTCCAAAACAGATAGAAATGAGACTCACAGTGGCAAATAATAAAATAAACAAAAAGTTATTCATTCATAACTTTAATTAATGCATTTTAGCAAAGTAATAATAAGTATATGTAAGTAATAACACAAACACAGTGAAATAGTAATTTAATACTTATAATCTAAAAGAGGTCAGCACTGTCACTCATTTTAATATAACTTTAAAGGGTATTATTAATTGTTAGAATTACACATATAAGTTTTGCTTAAAAAAAATCAACGTCGCCACCGCACCTTAAAAGAATCAATTCAGAATCCAGCACATTAGAAATATCAGTTTGCATAGGGAACCACAGAATAAAACAATATCTCCATAAGAAAAACAAACCAGGTCATTGGTTTGTAGTCGGGGAATCCCATCCGCTCGCCAGTCATAGGCAAAACAAACAAGATGATTGGTTTAAGGCCGGGGAATTCCGGGAATTTTAACTAGCTTTCATTAATGTTAAATTATATAAATATATTTATATTATGTATAAAATATAATATTATGTTATGGTGTATAGTATAATTAGTATATATTGATAAAGGTCGCAAAACTGTTAAGACTACTCGGCAGCCGAGTACTAGGTACTCGGCCATTACCTTTAGCCGAGTACTCGGTACTCGGTCAAGTTAAAAAACAGGGCTCGTTACAGCCCTAGTTATTATAACCACATAACAAGAAATAAACGACAAGAGGTGACATATTATAACCCAAAAACTCAAAATTCGCAGCAAATATTCGCAAAAATTAAATCAGTTTCAGTATTCCCATCCCCCCAGATTTTAAATTATGCGAATTTGCAAAATATTAAAACAACTTTCTGCCAATTCTGCCGCTTTAATTTGCATTTCGTAATTCGCGTGTATATGAACCTACCTTTAACCAATGTTTATGTTATTATAACCACATAACAAGAAGTAAATGACAAGAGATGGCATATCATAACCTATAAACTCAAAATTGGCAGCAAATATTCACAAAAATTAAATCAGTTTCAGTATTCCCATCTCCCACATTTTAAATTATGCGAATTTGCAAAATATTAAATCAACTGTCAATTTTGTCAATTTAATTCGCATTTCGCAATTCTTATTTGGTAACCAAATAAGTTTTAAAATATTGTGTGTTACAAAATACCAAAAAAATGATAAGGCATCCTAATAAATATAATATGCTAAGCTCGAGGTTAAGTCATTTGAACCATTACTTTGAATAGACAAATTAATTAAATTAATTTCAAATTTTGTCCACCAAACTATTGATGATGTGTGTATCATAGTGCATGAAACGTTGTCAAAATATCACGAAAAGATATTCCGAGTTCTGGCCTCCTAGGCTACATAGGTTTGGTAAGACCCATCTCAACCTCCTCATTGGCTTACCACTTTTTTTCTCGCTAGCTCGTATCGCAAGGCCGTGTCGTGTCACTTTTTACTATTATTTTTACTCTCATCACGCGTAAAGAAGTTGCACTTCAAAAATCGATATTAAAAAAAATGTTCCTTTCTTAACATCTCTCACTAAATTTAATTTAAATTAATTGAGAATTACAGTAGATTAGAAACTAATTGTGGACTTTTTACCTTTATTTAAAAATTAAAAGTTTATATTCTTCTTACTTTTGTTCCGAAAATGTCTCATCATATTATATGATGTCAGTTTTTTCAGTTCTATTATACAAATATCAATGACAGATACGTTTATAATACATTTCAAAAATGAACATTTGTCATTACTGTGCCCTTGGTGAGCACTTTTAACGAAAGAGCTGCCATTTATATTATAAAGCGTCGAGATATTCAAATAGGCTACGTTTATTTTAGTGAGAATGCTACGTTTCTTGAACGATATTCCGATATTTTGTAGCGTAAAGCTTTCTCACTGGAGCAATGGGACTACTTAAATTGATTGATTTTATTCTAAAGGGAATGGGCGCAACTTATTGTTAGAAACAAAAATAAAACGTCGGAATATTGTAGGCTATTTTACTTACTAAGCTATTAGTAAATTTTAAATATAAATAAAATAGTTCGTGAAAACAACATAAGATAATTAGGCTGTAGATTAGTTTCTGACTTATTTATGTCCTTATCCTTATTATATTTTCTAAATATTTTAAAGTGAAATATTAAACTACCCCAGTACATTATTGCATGAATATACAGGGTAGCGCACTTTATTCGCCTCGGTTGATTATACGAAAACGGAAAGATGTAGAAACGAAATATTTTATGGGAGTATGTGGGAAGGCAATGTACATAATTTGAAATTATTTTGAAATGTACAGGGTGTCTCAGAACACTAAGATCCATACCAAAGTTATATTTTTTCTTATGGAACACCCGGTATATTATTTTATTTTTGGATTCTTGGAGATAAAATAACGCATTTATTATACGGATTTAATATGTTTAAAAGCTTTGGTTTTTGAGATATTTAAATATACATGCTATCATAAAAAAGTTTGTTAACACCTTGTACATTACTTTTCAGAATTAATTATAGTGCTGACTTTCAAGCCAGAGAAATAAACTTTACTAAAAAATTTGATTGCTTCCTTAAATCTATACAGGGGTATCAAAAATTGCTGGTTTATTTTAAATATATATTTTACATAAAATCTTCGTTATTTCAAATACAACACGATGTATTTTTATGAATAAGTCGAAGCAGTTTTAAATGCTCTTTCAAACTATGTTAGGGTTTCCTATACCTATCTGGCTCAGATTTTGAATAAAAAGTGATTTTTCAATAAAATGGCAATCAAGATGGCTGGTGTCGCCATGGCAATTTTCTAGTGGCACTTAGTAGCTATTTTCAAAATCGACATTAGTTTATGGACTTTATTCAAATTTATAACAGGCTATTTTTATTTAATTTACCTACAATAAGGTTAATAAGTAAATATTTATTATTTTATCGAGAAAAATGAAGCAGTATCTGCTGGTGGAAGGAATGAATATGTTACTAGTGATTTTATTTTGTGAGGACAATAATTGCTTGTTAACCTGAAGGATTTATGCTCAAAGATATCCAAATAGGAATTTTCTTGACAAGCGTTCCTTTGAAAAACTACTTTTCCTATTTCGCAGAACTGATAGTGTGGTATATGAAAAACCTATTAGGCAGAAACCTGTCGTTGGAAGTGAAGAAAATAAATTTGCGTTAATTGGCTCTTTTACAGAAAATCCAATATATATACAAGTCATCGTAATATAAATCAAAGAACTACTTTTTATTTTTCTTGATAAATTAATAAATACTTACTTATTAAACTATTGTAGGTAAATTAAATAAAAGTAAACTGTTATAAATTTAAACAAAGGCCATAAACTAATATCGATTTTGAAAATAGCTACTATCTGTCACTAGCAAATTGCCATGGCGACACCAGCCATCTTGATTACCATTTTATTGAAAAATCGCTTTTTATTCAAAATCTGAGCCAGATAGGTATAGGAAACCCTAATATTAATATAGTTTTAAAGAGCATTTAAATCTGCTTAGACTTATTCAAAAAAATATATAGTGTTGTATTTGAAATAACGAAGTTTTTATGTAAAATAAATATATATAAAGTAGAGCAGCAATTTTTGATACCCCTGTATACATTTAAGGAAGCAATAATTTTTTTAGTAAAGTTTATTTCTCTGGCTTCAGTCAGCACAAGAATTAACCCTGAAAAGTAATGTACAGGGTGTTGACAAACTTTTTTATTATAGCATGCATATTTAAATATCTTTAAATATCTCAAAAACCAAAGCATTTAAACATATCAAACCCTTATAATAAATGCTTTATTTTATGCCCAAGAATCCAAAAATGAAATAAAATACCGGGTGTTCCATAAGAAAAAATATAACTTTGGTATGGATCTTAGTTCTGACACACCCTGTATATTTCAAAATAATTTTAAATTATGCACATTGCCTCTCTACATATACCCATAAAAATTTTGTTTCTACATCTTTCCATTTTCCTATAATCAACCGAGGCGAATGGTACGCCACCCTGTATTGCAGTCAAAACTATTAACAACATCAGAAGTTTGATTACAATCGTTATTTATACTAAATTTTCTTTATAGGTTACGAATTTGGTGCCGATTCAATCATTGCAATCGTAGTGGCCATTTTGTTTATTATTCTAGTCATATCTATCCTGATTTTTGCCAAAATTACCGGAAGGTGGTGCTTTAGTGGTAAGTAATATTCATGTTATCGCTCTTTAATTAAATAGATAATTTTGTGATAGACTGATTGATTTACTTGAAATACTGATTAAGTTTATTAGTCGTTATAATCATTTATTACAAAGTTATTTATGTATTTAATCGTATGTGGTAAAGTATTGACAATAGTGCATTTATATTAGTAGTGATAGAATATTATTTATTAATGTGTATTTAGGAATCACATCATATCTAAGATAGTATATTTATGTTTATGTGTATCGTATAAAAAACTCCCATTATACTACAGACATATACAGATTGTTAACTGGACGGTTACTTATTGGGGAACAGAATGGCAACACTGCTTATATTCCAAATGAGTACTAAGCTAAGCTGACGACTCGTCATGTCGCGCCGTCTCTCGACGAGCGGGCCGATGCGTTACCGTATTTCAACCATAAAGCTCTTGCCGCGAGTAATAAACAAATTAACAACCTGTATAAGCTAAGTAGTATATTTTAAGACTGGATTGTGTTAAGAAATCTGTTCAGATTTTGTTATATAATACTGCTCTTATTTTGTTATATAATTATTTTAAACAAGGATGAATCCGCAAGTATATTGCCGAGTAATATTCCATTATCTCCATATTTATTTTTTATAAAAATCTATTTTTTGTTCTCAGTCCATCGCTTTATTTGTTGTGTTTTCATGTATTTCAGTCTATTTGTTTTGTTTTTTGTATTGTAATTTGTGCTTTTATTGAGATATTGTAATACAAGTAATTAATACTTAAAAACACTATCGTATACAGGGTGGTCCCAACTGTATTCCGGAAACTTCGGCTGCATATTCTGCAGATAAAAATAAGTAAAAAAGTTCATATAAATGTATGTCCTAAAATGATTAATTTCATAGATACAGAGTGCACAAGTTTCATTTTTATTTTGATTTTTTCCAAATAATTTCTGAAGTAACGTCAATATTTGGATGAAAATTGGTATCTGGGAATTTTGTGACACGAGAAATTTGATTTTGATGTCAAAATGACTCCTATTTGTAGGGGGCGCCACCTACATGTGTTTTAACAGTTTTGAAGAGTAATAACTTTTCTCGTCCGTACCTGTATAAAACTACTAACTGATATATACATTTCCATGAGTTTATACGTAAAAAATGTCTCTTGGTAAAAATCGCTACGAGCAACCGTTCTGAAGGTATTTAGAATGAAAATAATCAATACATGTCATCATTGACAAAAAATAAGCACACGTTGAGTATAGTTATTTGATTGAAATAATACATTTTTATTTTTTTAAATCAATCATAAATTTTTCTGCGAAAAAATGATGATTAAACAGTTTCAGTTGAACTTTTGGCACAAAAAGATTTAACATGTTTAATTTATGTCAATGATGATAGGTATTGATAATTTCGATTCCAAATATCTCGAGAACTATTACTCGTAGCTTTTTACCAAGAGATCTTTTTTATGTAAAAAAAGTCGTAAATGTATATTTTTTTACTCAGTAGTTTTATACAGGTATGGACGAAAAGTTATTACACTTCAAACCATTTAACAAATATGTAGGTGGCGCTCTCTATAAGTAGGAGTCATATTGACATGAAAATCAAATTTCTCATGTCAAAAAACTCCTAGACACACTTATTTTCATTCAAATATTGACGTTACTTCAGAAATTATTTGGAAAAATCGAAATAAAAATGAAATTTCTACACCCTGTATCTCCATAAGCATTTTAGGACATACATTTATACGAGCGTTTTTACTTATTTTAATCTGCAGAATATGCTGCCGAAGTTTCCGGAATACAGTTCGGACTACCCTGTATATGTATCTTTAAAGTTCACAAAATGAATCTTAGTATTTTCTAAATTTTTTAGAATTTGCTTTAAAGTGTAGAGTCCATTTTTTACATGTTCAAAATTTCAGAGTCGTTTATTTTGCTATTACATTTTCTATTCATATTAATTTCTTGAAATGTTTATTTTGTTTCTACACAAATGATATGAACTCTATTTTAAAAAGTCCAAGAATTAAGCCCTATTTTATTTTCATTATTAGGTATTTATATTCTTGATACTGCATGGCATTATGATTAATTGTTGAGGAATTCATCAGATAAAATTTAAAAAGATAATTTTGTATAATAATTATAAGAACAGAATCAAGAAATTACCATTATTTTTTATTGTAATCTTTACATCCAGTGTACGATTTATGAATGACATTTTTTATGATCTTGTGTTTTTCTAGTATCCTATAAATTATTTTTATTAGTAGTAGGCTTTAGCTTTTTCTCTCGAATTAGCTGAAATTTATTTTAATTTCCTACGAAATCCGTATATAGATTTTTTTATTATAACCCTTGGCTGCTGTAGTAAAAGCTAATATATTTCCAAGGAGGTAAGTTTTATTTGTTTCCGCCATCAATTATTGCAGTGTGTGTTGTTTAGTTTAATTTGTGTTCAACATTACTGAAATTTTTTAATTCTATAAAATAATTTTGAAAAACATTTAACTGGCTAATTAATGTTATGCATCATTTATTCAGTTTATTTAATCAATTATTTAAACACCATAAATAACAAAAAAAGTGTTTGGTTTGGTTTTATTGTATCCATATTCATTGTTTTTAAAATGTTTTAGCTTTAGAAAGCAAATGGGATTTATGTTTGTTTTATTGCATGTTGTTAATTATGCATTTGATTGTTATTAATGCTGACGTTACTAAATAAAGTCATTCTATTTAGGTTGTATTCCGTTTGTATATTGATTATAGTTCCGTTTCTATGTCTTGTCTGACATTTTTATTATTATGGAACACGGTTCCTGATACACAGGAATGAGTCTTAAATAAGTGAAAATATTTTCAGTTTCATTTCTCCAAAAATTCCAAATTTTAATGAAAAAAAACTCAGACGTGTATCTGTAAACAGTTAAAGTAAACACCGCAAAGGGGGGTGTTTTTTTTCGTTTGTTATGTAATCATGTGTCATTCAATCCCTTTTTTCTTGCAAAAAATATTGAACTCTCTGAGTGCTGTTTCGCATTGAGCGGACCATCCTGTGTATTTTTAAGGTCCGACGGTGTTCTTTCACCTGTGCTTTCAATCTGCGCATGTGAAACGACGTTTTTAATCATATAACAGGCCCGCGCGCGGATAGTCCGACGAAACAACGGCTCGACGGATGGCCGTTGGACAAAGTCATCCGGACGGATCATCCGCGTCCATGTGAAAATATTCATATAAACTGATAGTACTTGTTCAACCAACAGACGGCCCCCCGGACCAGATGGTCCGATCCATGTGAAACAGTACCAAAGGACCTATTAGCGCGGACGGTCCGCGCGGACTGTGAAACAGAACTGATAAGTTAAACAACTCCTTTCGAAAGTATTTTATTACCATTAAACTCCATTGAAAGAATAACCCAAGCCTGAATAAAAAATTATATTAAAGATATTGAAGTTCGAATTACTAAACGTTAATATTTGACATTTCTGCTATTTTACTGTTATATCTATATCCTTAGATCAAGGATTTTATAAAAACTCCGTATTTTATCGATGTTTTTTTATGAACCAATCCTTACCTCATTTTACCAACGTAGTTAACCTGGTTTTACAACGGAATACAGCTTGTTAGAGTAGTAACGCATGTGGCTCTTATTATTATTATTAATTATTAATCTAAGTATTTAATATGCAAACAGATGAAATTATATTTACATATTTCAGGTAGACGTAAAAATGATGAAAACCTGAAATATTTAAATACCAGCTTTTACTAATGCTCTGCTATCCTAGGCTCAATTTTGTCTTGTTAAAAGCAATAACGTACTTACAAGATGCTGAAATATTATTTACATATTTCAGGTTATCACTGAAAGAGACAGCCCATCATAAAAAAGGTCTGTCGTGTATTAAAACAAATAAAAGTAGTTTTGTCATTTTTTATCATTTTTCAAAATTTTAAAAGTAGTTTCATTAATATTTCTTTTTATTCATTCTTCTCATTTTTAAAGACACATTTTTTTTTCCTGTTTTAATTTATTTGAAGGTGTTGTTTCCTTTAATAAATTACTTAATTATTACTTAATAAATTTATTACCTTTAATAAAAACTTACAACAGTGGAAAATAAAAAAAAATATTTTAATTTAATAATCTGTCTTAATATTTTATGTTGACCTTACTTTTACGATTTTTATTTTTAAATACACTCACATTTTTATAAATTTTCATAATAGGAATGTTTTATGTATAGGTGTTAACATATCTGATAAATATCAGTAACACAAATTAATATCACTTTGCAAAATTTGTGTATTTCTTAGCTACTATTCTATGGTACTAAAAACTGCTAGAACAACTTTTGTCAAGATATATTAACGATAATATTATTATATTAACGATATTGCATATGATTTTATTGCTATTTATAAATATCCCCAAAAATTAGACGGTTGCTTTAGATTTATATCATTATACAAATATTATCTTTATTTTTCTACTAATATTTATGTGGAAAGGTAACTATAACAAAATGTTAATACTGATCAGTATTGCTTTTTTATCAATAAAATCAAAGATAATTATAAAAATAGGCAACATAGAAAGTGATTCACGGCCAAGATAGGTTAGACGTTTATTTTTTTAGACGTTTTTGTGGAACCGGTGACAGGATTTCTTTTAAATTTGGTAGACAGGTGGAGCAGGCGCCTTTATGTAAAAATATACAATTTCAAAACAATCCTATCATCAATATTCAAACATCTAACATAGCACCACCGTGAATCACTCTGTATGTTTTTAATAATTGTGTTAAAGGAAATTAAAATACAATTTTTACAGAATTATGACCGATTTAACAAATTGTTGTGCCAAAAAATATACTATTTTGGTATATCACATACGAAATATGAAAAAATACCTCAGAATTAAAATCTGTCATCAATATTGTATATATTTTTCCCTGTATACCGGATGTTTAAAGATAAAAA